TTTTTTTTGAGACGGAGTCTTACTCTGTCGCCCAGGCTGGAGTGCAATGGAGTGGCATGATCTCGGCTCACTGCAACCTCCACCTCCCAGGTTCCGGGGCCAAGTGATTCTCCTGTCTCAGGCTCCATAGTAGCTGGGATTACGGGTGTGCGCCACCATGCCCGACTAATTTTTTTTATTTTTAGTAGAGACAGGGGTCTCACTATTTTGGTCACCGTGGTCTCAAACTCTTGACCTCAGGCGATCTGCCCGCCTTGGCCTCCCAAAATGCTGGGATTACAGGCGTGAGCCACCGCGCCTGGCCCTTGGCTTTTAAGATTATTTTGAAAATCAAATTTCAGGAGCAAAAAAAAAACACCTCCTAGATTCCACTCCTGGAACACAGTACAGATGTCACTGGCGATCTTGACAGGGGTAGTTCCAGGGACCCGAAGGGGCCAGAAGTTAAACTGGATTGTATTGATGAGTGAATGAGAGAGGGGTCAGAAGGGTGTGTTAGTAACTCCATGGTGAGGTTTTGGGCGTGAAGGGAATGGGGAGTTTGAGGAGACCCAGAAAAGTGGAATGTCTGAGGTCACATAGCTGGCAAGCCGTAGTGTTGGGGCTAGAACCCTGCTGCATCTGTGGCTATTCCACACCTCATGAATCGTGCTTATCGTGCAGGCTGTATGTAGTGAGATGGGATGTGGAGCAGGGAAGCACACTGCTAATGGCAGCCTGCATGATGCGTGTCATGAAAGAAAAGGTCTTGATCGGTTCAAGTGGGTTCATCGACTTGTAGGGTTCATGAACCAGACAGCCTGCCTTCAGTTTCCAAAGACCCAAGAGATTTGGAAGCAGTAACCTTATGGCTCAGTCTTTGTGGGGTACGGGACACGCTGCTACCTCACTTCACAGAGGAGAGCACAGGGGTACCCACACTGCTTCCCTGTGGGCACTGGGGTCCCAGGACAAGAGACTGAAGGTGTCCTGCAGTCATCCCTGGAATAGCCCAGGGAATGTGCCTGTACTCCCCCAGGCTCAAGTTTTCCCCGCTGGCCACAGCTCCTGAGCAAGAAATCACATTAGCTGGGTCATAGGTGACGTGAGAAAAAGTCCAACCTGCTTTATTTAGAAAGGGCAGAGGTCAGGGGAGGGAAATAGTCAAAAACTGTATGTCCTTTCTTAGACATATCTACCCTCTGAGACACTGGACACTTGGAGTCTAGAGGGAACTGGGCCCCGGCCATCCCTCTTTGAAAGGATTTCTTTAGTCTGACTCTTTGACACTCCTCTTGTGTCTGGGCTCTGGGCCGCTGGCTGCACCGGCTCCTGGCCCAGGAAGGCTGGGCCCGGCAACACCTGGCGCGCTCTAGTTGATGTAGTACACCTTGGCAGCATCATAATAGGCGCGGGTCATGTAGTTCTTGTTCCTAAGGGGCCACCAGTGGTCAGGGTGGTAGGTGGCTGGGTAGACATGGGGCTGGTGCTGAACA